GAGAGTGTAATGAGAAATATAGGAGAGTTCTAAGGTAAGGGAGACATATATAAGGTATTGGTTAGGGGGATGGGGAATGATATAAAATACGCCCTCTAATGAATAATAGAGGAAGATAAATAAAGGAAATAAAATATATAGGTACATTAAATGAAGTATACATAGTAAAATACATCAATAATAGTGAAGGAAGATATAAGAAATAATCTAAATGCATAAAAAAGTAATACTTGTAAATAAATATAGAAACTCCTAAGGTTGCAAATAATAAGGTAACTTAAAACTTTAAAGGAAATTAAAAAGGTAAAAATGCACATTTAAAGTTTTAAATCAAAAACCAAATGCATTTCTTTTTGACCTATAATCTTTTTTATATCTCCACCTCTCCAAGGGATCTTGCGTTTTTGGATTCCTATACATTTTAAGTATTTGGGATTTTTTTTTGTGAATAAGGAAATGTTTGGACACAGAGTGGTTGAGATATATTTTAGTAATGTCCCACCAGTCTTATTTTAAGACATTGAGTTGTCATTCCTTCATACTGGGGTTCAAAGGGGCATTCCAGTAGATATATTACATTTTTGGTAGTACAACAGATGAGATCTTTATAGGATATGTTTTATGCGTGTTATTTGATGTAAAGTGTGTAGTTTTTGATTTTATGTTATCAGTTGTTTTACAAACTATACATTTATGACATTTAAAATAACCTTTTGATTGGGGTAAGAAATATTAGGATTTAGTTTGTGGTGGTTTGTGGGTAATTTTTAGTTAGAATGGTTCTAAAATTGGGATCACCTTTGAAAACTACTCTATGTTTTTCTGGAATAAAATCTTTAAGGATATTATCTTGTTTTAAAATATGCCAGTATTTTTTGATGATGTTCTTTACTTTGTGACTGTTATATTTGAAATTTAAAATTACCGGCATCAAATGGGAGTTGTTATTAGTTTTGGGTTTGCATTCCAAGAGTTCTGACCTTTCTTCTTGTATAATACTTTCAGGGATTTGTCTAGGTCAATTAGAGGATCATTTTTTTCAGTAAATTTCTCTTTAAGATCTAGGGTCTGTTGTTTAAATTCTTCATTACGAGAGCAATTTCTGTGGAGGCGTAATAATTGGCTTTTAGGTATACCGTTTAACCATGGTTTATGATGACAACTATACTGGTCAATAATGTTGTTAGTGCAGACTCTTTTTAAAATAAGTTTTAGTGTTAATTTTATTATCATGGATAAAAATGTGTAGGTCTAAAAAGTTAATACTACTGCTATGGATTTCTGATTTAAATGATACCTTTGTTGTTAGATGATTTAAAAAGGATTTTAGGGACTCTTTTAGGGTCCTTTCCAAATAAAAAAAGGTCATCCTAGTATCGGAAATAGGTGACCAGGTTTGCCTTCCAAGCGTGGTCACCCCAGATGGCTTCTGATTCCCATTCAGCCATGAACATCACTTTCAAGATATATCCTTGGTAGGGATTATTCCACCCACAGCCTATCCATAGAACAGTGCGTCTGCTCTGAAATAAGTGAGTACAATATCTGCTATCTATATTCCTGGAGTTTTATACTGTAAGCACAATTTGTTGTTTCTTTTTATACTTTATAGTCCAAATACGATTGAGATGCTATATTCACGTATCCTTTAAGTGGGGATTGTACCACTGTATACCATCCATACTGGTGCTAGTTTAAGCTCCATAAAACGTGAGTAGGACTATATTTTAACCTTTTTTTTTATTAAACTCCCTGCCAGTATATACTGCATCATCATTTACTTTCTTTTTTCACATATGGATTCACTGCTGCCCCCCTCTGACACCCTCATAGAGGAACCCTGCAAATAACCTCTAGCAAGTGTCTATTTGCATCTACAGTGGAAATCTTTTTTGGTCTTATTTGACCTCTGGACTCTATTATATGGACATTTTGTGTGTATGTATATATATATATATATATATATATATATATATATATATATATTACTATTTTAAGTTGCTCTTTATTGTACCCTAGTGGACACTTACTCTGTGGCGCTACCCCTTCTATTGTTTTATGTATTCTATATATGGATATAGCATTATTGTATGTAAGCATCACTTGCAACCCAAGTCTGTTCAAGTCATTAGCAAAATCAGTGTAACTCAACCAGTTTCTGTAATGCTATATACACACTACAAGAGAATGCTTTAATCAATTTTCCATAATTAGGAAAATATGGTTCTTCAGATTATCTCACTTCTTAATAAATGTTTTATATGAAATGATGTGGCACATTAACATATTTAATCAATTATCAACTATGATTTGTGTCATGATTTGGAAATTACTACAATAATGGAAGTTTTAATTTAATGTGTATGATTTTCTTTAATGATGTTTGATTGATGAGCTTTAGATGGTTCATTTTCCATAAAACAAAGACAGACATGATAAGTCTGCTTTAAGTGGAATTGTATATATCAAATAATATCTACTGTACTAGGCATTCTCTCTCATTGCTTATTTTAGTTAATTTATATAAGCAATGTAATTTGTAAATGCAAAACTGATATCACACTAGAGATGAGTGAATTAGGCTTCTTATTGTTTTATTATCTACTGCATAATAAAATTAATCTAAATTAAGCCTAATGCTACGAAAAAGCCTGTCGGCTGAGTTTTGTCAAAACCCTAGCTGCAAGTTATGCCACATACTTACAAACACCTCTGGGAAGATATGATTAGACGCAGAAGTTTCCCTGGAGAGTTTTGATTGTTAATACCAAAAGAAAAGAAAATGAAAATAAAGTAAATAAGTTTTTTCTATATACATTCAAGTAGGTCTAGGTTCTTGCTTTGTGTCCAAGAATGGTTTGTTGCAGTAGCCCACTTGTCAGTCACTTGCCCTGGATCCCTAGCATGACTCTCTTGGTTCATGTTAATCTCATATCATTGACGTGGGCAGGGTAAATATTGTTAGGTGTCTTGCCCAGGGACACTTATTGGTTTCATGGTCAGACCAGGATTCATACCTGGGGGTCCCAGTTCAAAGGCAGTGACATTACCACTGTGGTAACCAGTTCCATATATTCCAACCTGCACCATCACAGAGACCAACAGGCTGATATATTCCACAGCATTAGTGATCCTCAAGCTGGTTGACTATGAGATCACACTAAGAGAGAAGCAATGGAAGCCAAGATAAACACAACATGGAAGGAAGTTAGTAAGCTGCATAAATTTCACAGTGGTGGAACGATTAAGGATTTGTCTTGGATACTGAAGAAGTACAGATCTTCTAACTCACGTGTTACTATGTCAAGCATGCCCAATATATGCTTAGGCAGTGGCATACTAAGAGGGGACGGGGGAGTGGGTCCGCTTCGGGTGCCACTCAATAAGGGGGTGCTCGGGACAGACTGTGTCTGACCCGACACCAGGAGGGGGCTATGTTCGTTGCCCCTCCTGCGCCCATTGCAGACACAGAGCAGAGCTGCAGACAATGTGTCTAGCGAGATTTGAGCAATCAGAGCATTGCCGTGGGTTACCGTGAGATTCATAGTCTGCAGCTCTTCTCACGGCAAAGCTCCAGACCAGTGTCTGCGATGGGCGCAGGAGGGGCATCGAACCAAGGACTGGAGCCCACCGGACCACCAGGGACTGGAGCCCACCGGATCACCAGGAAATTAAGGTATAGTCCACCCCCCCTCCCCATCACCCCCTCTCTCATAACCAGCCCCCTTCCCTCACACCATCAACCCCCTTCCTCTCATCATCACCCCCCTCCCTCTCACCATCACCCCCTCACACCATCACCCCCTCCCTCTCACCATCACCCCTCATCACCACCTCCCTCTCACATCACCCCCCCTCCAATTCATCACCCCTCTCATCATCAACCCCTCGCTCTCATCATCAACCCCCTTCGGCTCTCATTATCACCCTCTTGTCTCATCACCTCTCCCTCTCCCATCACCCCCTCACTCTTATCATCACCTCCCTCTCACATCACCCCCTCCTCTCACATCACCCCCATCCTTCTCATCATTGCCACCCATCTCACCATCACCCCCCCTCACCATCACACCTCTCCCTCTCACATCACCCCACCACATCACCCCCTCTCATCATCGCCCCATCACTCTCATAATCACCCCCTCCCTCTCATCATCACCCCCTCTCCCTCTCCCATCACCCCACTCCCTCTCATCATCCCACTCTCCCTCTCATCATCACCCCCTCATTCACACCATTATCCACTATACAAGCACACACACTGCATACACTATACAAACACACACAGACACATACTTATACATGTGTGTCTGTGTATCTGTATGTCTGTGTATCTGTATGTGTGTTGGTATATGTGTATCTGCATTGGCGTACACACCGCGGTCTCAGGGGTCACAGCTGCGACCGGGCCCATCACTCCAGGGGGTCTGGCTGCCCTGTGGATCCCTGCGACCGGGTACCCGCCACCTTGTTTTGTGGCCCCTGCCCGCGTGGCAAACCGCCGGGGCTGCACATGAAGGGGTCCATCTGGATATGGATTTTCAGGGGCCCCGATCAGCGCTGGGCACTTTAACAGCTCAACCGGGCCCCCTGTGATGACATCAGACAGCTGGGAGGAAGAGACTGCCCCAGTCACTCCTCCCAGCTATCAGAGAGCTACGCGGGAGGAAGGAGGAAGGAAGGAGGAGGGAGTCAGAGTGGGAACTCTGACTCCCATCAGGCTGAGCTCCCACTGGACCCCAGGGAAAGTCACCCTTCTGCAAAAAGTAGGAATCAGGAGGGTGACATAAACATTTTGTGTATATGTGTGTCGGTCTGTGCGTATGTGTGTGTCAGTCTGTGCATATGTGTGTGTGTCTCTGTGTGTATGTGTATGTGTGTATGTCTCTGTGTGTATGTGTGTGTGTATGTGTGTGTGTCTCTCTGTATGTATGTGTCTGTATGTGTGAGTGTGTCTGTCTGTGTGTATGTGTGTGTCTCTGAATGCATGTGTCTGTATGTGTGTGTGTCTGTATGTATGTGTCTGTGTCTCTGTATGTATGTGTCTGTATGATACAGACACATACATACAGAGACATACATACACATACAGACACAGACATACTGTGTATCAAACATTATTTTTGATTGCAGCAACCTTTGTTGGTATGCCCCCACATATATATATTTGGGGGCATACCATATATATATATATATATATATATATATATATATATATGTATATATATATATATATATATATATACATATATATATATAAAACAAAAAAAGAGAGAGAGTAAGCGCTGAATAACATAGAGGCAGCAACCCAAAAGAAGGGAGTCCCTCGAGACCCTTAATAAAACAGAATGAGTAGTAAAAAGTAAGTAAGGGCTGCGTCAAAGTCTAGTTCCTGATGAAAGTCCCAGACGTGGACTGAAACATTGAGCAGCTACTTTTTAATATGTATTAATAAAGTCTACTACTTTTAATCGTTAACTGGAAACCAAGAGTGCTGGTTATCATCTCTTCTACTTCTATTTGGAATTCCCCCAGACAGCAAGCACACGGATTACATGATCGGAGTCTGTGTGCAAGATTTTCTTGGATTTTTATATTTATTTATATATATATATATATATATATATATATGTAACAAAAAAAAGAGAGAGGAAGCGTTGAATAACATAGAGGCAGCAACCCAAAAGAAGGGAGTCCCTCAAGACCCTTAATAAAACAGAATGAGTAGTAAAAAGGAAGTAAGGGCTGTGTCAAAGTCTAGTATCAATAAATAATCAATAAGATGCAGACCAAAGAGTCTAGATGGAATGATCTCAGTAGATCAAAATAAAGGGTAACATGCTTGGTCGGGAGTATTGTCCTCACTGTCTTTATCCGTGCAGATCCACTCATTTGAAAAAGACAAAGCAGAAAAAGGAACTAAATAGTGTAATAAGTTAAATCTAATGGATACAATATGTAAGAGAGATGGTAATAAACTCCCATTTGTAAGAGCTATAGCTAGCTCTAGTTTGAAGGGCGCGCAGCGGTACAATCCCCGCTTATGGAATATATAATGGACTTCCATCAGGGGTATGTTCAACAGTCAGGAGAAAGGTAGAAAGAGACAACTTATAGTGCTCACTGGTTAAAACAAAAGTGAATAAGATAAATAATAAGTACTCACAAGCAAAGAGCAGGCAGTGTCTGCTCTTTGATGATAGCGTGGGTGGTATGATCCCCACATAGGATTCCTTGAAGTCCAGGAAGATAAAATGCCAGGTAGAAATAAAGCCAGAAGATGTGTATAAAAAAGATAATTGGTACAAGGAAAGTGACCAAAAAATCTTTAATAGTAAAATACACAATAAAAATAGTAATAATCCAAAACGCGTTTTGCCTATCAGGGCTTCTTTAAAACGGAATAAAACATTTGTGAATTTAAATAAGGATCAGCCAATCAGAGTATGTATCACATAAAACAATATTAAACAAGTTGTAACCAATATAGTTTACATTTATAAAGGAATATGGGCATAGTGTTATAATTCAATATGTAAAACGAGGGTTATATGGTGAGGAGTATGTAAAAATCAAAATCACGTGACCTCCGTTTTTATTGGCATAGCCCCACCAAGGGACATGTAGTCAGCACGCACGTAGTGTCTGCCGACATATGGAGTGAAGGGCTGGAAGGAGACGCGTTCAGGCGTCATATAGAGAGGTTGTTGCTGGGAAGGATAGTTTTAACTGTCGGCGTGCACTAGGCTTAAACCGACGTGGGTATATGTGGGGGTGACGGCGGTACGTTGTAGCCGTGCTGTCTAAGTTAAATTAGTGGCTATATTGGAGGGGGAACATAATAAAGATGGCAGTAGCCGTATTGGGGGAGTATATAAAGAAAATGACAGGGAGGAGAGACAAGAAGGGGGAGGGGTAAATCAGAAACATATTAGCATATATCAAAACAGATGCAAATAATACAGAATAAAAAAAAGAGAACATTGAATAATAAATAAAATGTAGGTATCTATATAAATATTTACAAAAAAAAATGTAACAAATCAAAGTTAGCATTTAAACCATGGGGTATAAGAGTCTGTAACCTATAAACCATTCCATTTCTGTTTTTTCCAAGGATATTTTTTATATCCCCACCCCTCCAGAGTAAAATACATTTTTTAATACCTATACATTTTAACATTTTAGGATCTTTATTATGTTTAATGAAGTGTTTGGATACTGAGTGATTCAAGTATCCATTTTTAATGTTTCTGCAATGTTCACTTAATCTAATTTTTTTTTTTTAATCTTTATTTTTGCTGTGCTCAGAATTTACAGATAAGCCTGCAGTGCCACAACAGGAGATTCAAGCATAACAACACACATAGGTAGACAATTGCATGGCAAACAATAATTCAGCACATTTTTGATATGATTAATGTTTCAAGTATACACACCCAGATACAAGAGGTAGAATCAAAGAAAACGAAAACAATTTTGTGGGCACTTGCTATCTGGGAGTGAAGTAAAATAGAGAGAAATTACATGCCCAACACTAGCCAGTGAGTGGGATGAGTGGTACTAATAATGACTCAGAGAATAGACCAGCTCAGGTGTAAAAGGTAGGTGCAGAGAAATAGACAATGATGTAGGTGCTTGTTATTTGAGAGTGGGTTAAGTAGAGCAGTTACATACTTAACACAAGACAGTGTGTGAGGTGAGTAATCCCCAAGAAGCCCCTCTGGTATGTTGGTCATGATTCCCATGGGAGTATAGCTGGAGTAGACTGCCTGTTCTGTGTGTTAATGCTGCCAGCATCTTATGGGGGTATCCCATCTCGGTCCAAAAACTCAGCTCACCCAACACCCTCAGTGGGCATAGTACAGTCCAAACTCCCGGTAGAGCCGTGCACAACTCCCGCCGTCGAGGTATGCCAGATGGCAGGGACCCTCGCTGGGTCGAGATCCCCAGAATCAGCTGTGGCACTTCAGTAGTCTGATGGTTGAGACGCTGATGTGCTCGCGTAGATGATGCCCACTTCCGATATGAAAGGCGCTTCTTCACGCGCCTCCATTTTGGTGCCTTTGTCTCAGCCGTCGCTGCAGGCTTCTCCTGTTGGGCTGGGGTCCGCTGTGGAGGTGGGTGCTCACATGACTGCTGTGAGGCCTGTCGCTGCTTCCTTTGCTCCAGTCTCAGCCAGAAGTTGTTGAGCACCAGCCTGGACTGTAGATCGGGTTGTTCTCCGGGGAGCACAGGGAGCCTCGTAGTGTCTGCCATTTTAGCTGCCTCGCTTAGGTTACCGTCAGCCACCTTGTTTGAGCCCGGAGTGCCTGTAGGGACTAGATGGCTACCTTGGGGTGGACCGGGATGACCCCCGCGGGTCCAGAGGGGAGGAGTACCTGTTTCCCACACAGAGTGGCATGCTGCCGGGTCATTCCAGGCTGGGAGAGCAGCCGCCTCTCCCGCCCGATGCGCATCAGGCCTCATGTTCCGATTTGTACCTCAGGTGTGTTGCTGTCCTGCTGCCAACTCGGGTATGTCCGCTAGTGCAGTAGCCAGGTAGGTTGTCCGTTTCAAGTAAATTCGAGTTTTGCAAAGCAGTAAATCTCTGTTTTAGACAGCCTAAGAGAGGAGCTCACTCAAAGCACGTCTCTCCATCATGGCAGTCAGGCCCCACCCCCACTTAATCTAATTTTTAAGCACCTTGTGGTCATTCCAACATTTTGGAAGCCACATGGGCGTTCAAGCAGATAAATTAAATTTCTTGTATTGCAGTTAATAAAATCTTTAATATTGTAAATCTTTTTTGTCCTGTTTGAGGTAAATTGTGTTACTTTAGAAGGTACAGTAGAATCAGCAGTTTTACAGACTGTGCAAGATTTACAGTTATTGAAACCTTTTGTTTAGGGAAAGAAGGATACAGTTTGTTTGTGTGTAATTTCCTTAGTACAATTAGTGGTTAAAATCAATCTAAAATTGGGAGCTCCTCTGAAAACTGTATTTGGATTTTTGGGTATGATTTGGCTAAGTTTTTCATCATGTCTTAAAATGTGGCAATGTTTTTTATAATCCTTGACATTTTACCACTTTTGTTGTTATAGTTAAAAGTGATGGGAAGAGACATAGTTGTTTTTGTTTTTGTTTTTTGTGTTAAAAGCAAATTTTTGTCTTTGTGCTTTATATTGTTAATAATGTCTGTTAAGTCTGTATCTGAATAATATTTTTCAATAAATTTATTGTTTTGAATTTCCGCTTGTTCATTAAAATCTTTTAATTCTGAGCAATTTCTACAAAGGCGTAGAAATTGGCTTTTTGGAGCACTGTCAAGCCAAGGTTTGTAATTTGTGATTTATCAATTGCCGTGTTTACAAAAACTTTTTAAAAAAACATTTGGTATGTAGTTGCCCATTTTTAATAAATATACTTAGATCCAAAAAGTTGATCTGTTCCCTACTGAATTCATATGTTAGAATTATGCCTCTGTTGTTAGTATTAAGATTGTCAATAAAAGAGATTAGGTTATCTTCAGATCAATCCCAGATAAAAATTAGGTCATCAATATACCTAAAATATGAGACCAGGTTTGCCCTCCAGGCATGTGCATTAAATAGTTTGGGACTCCCAATCGGCCATGAATAAATTAGCACAGCTGGGGGCAAACCTAGTACCTATAGCTATCCCTCTTTTTTGAAGATAAAAAGAATTGAGGAACCAAAAATAATTATATATATATATATATATTAAAGGTTTACTCTAACCATCATGACCAGTTCTGCTTTTTGAAGTGGTCATAAGAGTCTGGGTGCAGTGTTTTAGCTTGAAACACTTCACATCCAGAGTTATCTTTTTTGTTTTTAATTGTGTTGCCCCCCCAGCACACATGACCTTGACAGCCCAGAACTCTGTTCCGGACAGCATAATACCAAGCAGTCTGCAAAAATTAAAAAATCTTCCCACTTGCAGGCAGAGCAACTGCAATGGGAAGCTTGTGATTGGACCGCTGTTCCATTGGGTTTTGTAAATTTAATATATTTTGTAAATCAGTTGGAGTAGCCTTTTAACAAAAAAAAAAAGACAAAACTTAGCTATGATCCATTGAGGCCAATTTTCCCTGCAGACTGATCCTTTTTTGGTGATGTGATTCTCCCTCACTGTTACTGTAGAGGAGGGATGTCTCAAAGACTG